CAAGGATGGGGAAGGTCGTTCAGTGTCCCCGACGAAAACATGGTCGCACTACCCGACATCGAATCCAGATACTGAGGAACGGAAAAGAGCTGCCATGCGCGGTGGGCAAGGTACAGCAATCGCTTCCAGCTGGAAATCCGCCTATGACAATCTCAGAAGAGTCAGGGCACGCGCAGAGAGCCAAAATGTGTGCTATTGTTGTGGTTCAAACCAACATCACCTGGCTATTTGTCCCGACACTGAGAAGAAGGACGTGTTGATGAAATCATTCTCTTACATGGAGGACACTATGCGCAAGTGCTTCACCGAGGACGACAAGGCAATCATCCGACGTGATGTTGAAAGCCGAAAGAGGAAAGCAAAGTCATCCAAAGACGTCGAAGACGAGGACTACATGGATGTGGATGATGCAGATATTGAACTTCCCGAGGAAGAGCCGGAACTAGGAAGTAAGGTACCACCTTACTCTCCGAGAGCCAAAGGTAGACCACATTCGTCAGACTCTGCAAAAGAGGAATACGCAAAAGCGGTCGAGGCAACCAAGAAGGCCTTTGGGAACGCCAGCTTCGTCACCAGATTCAAAGAGCCCGTCGATCTCTTTGACATTGCCGATGACAAAGAAGGAGGAGAGTACAGGGTCGCAAATCACAGGGTTGATAGATCAGGTCCTGATGGAAAGAGGGAACTTGATGCACTTATTCAGGAGGCTGCAGCACTCGGAATAAAGATGCCCAAAGTGAAGGACCTTGCTCCTGACCCACAACAATTTCAAAAGGCGGGATATCGGCAGATTGAGGTGGCTTGCGATAGAGGAAACATTGAGATAATTCCACAGTATGGAGTTACATTCTATGTGGAGTACTGGAATGGACCGAAGAGAGATGCAACTTTCACGGATCCACCAAAGATGAACCCAGCAATTCGCATCGACAAGCTCAGCGAGGAGAGTCAGTGGGTCAACGAGATTAGCCATAGACTCAATAGACTACTCAGGCATGGAGTGGGAAAGCATAATGGGATTCAATCGCACCGCGGTCGAAAACCTCATGTGTCCCCGAAGTGCAATGAGGGTGGATGGGTGAACATCGATGAGATCCTGGAATATGATCATGTCTTCAACGATGGTGTCAATATCAGTACTATCTCAGGTACCCAACGTGAGCAAGATACCAAGACAGAGCGATACCAGTATTTATGCAAGGCGATGTGGCATGCAAAGAAGTTGCAGAACAGAGTACGCTATCAGATTGCCGCCATTCGCATCTCAAAGGAGGATGTCTCACTCGAAGAGGAAAGGCGATACTGGGCAAACCTCATGTTTCACGGCACAGATGCACCGTCATTTCTGAAGCATGAACGTTGGATCGTTCCTTGCGCAATTCGAGCTGTTGCCTCTCACAATTCTGGAAGAGAGACTGTTCTTGAAGAGGATGTGTCAATATATCCTGTGTGGACTTCACATCTCATCCCAGAGAATGTGGCAATGCAGCTTGGAGGAAGCTTTCACATGACATCGCTTTCCAATATTGAGTCAATCATGAAACTAGGAATTGTCCCTGGTGGAATGGAGGGATATAGAGGTAGTGTTTTCTTCAACCACTTTGCGCCGTGGGATGATCGATCATCAAAGATTCTGAGATCAAGATGGCCAAGAGGGGGAATGCCCGTTTGCCTTTATGTTCCAATCATGACTTTGAGGAAGCTTGGAGGAAGAATTTCGGAGAATTCCTACACTGTTGTTTTTAGAGAAGTTCCATGGAGATGTGTACGAGGTGCTTGGTTTTGGGATGACCACGGTCAGGCATGGAGGAGACTCCTGCTGGGAAGCACTGGAGAGCAAGTTGTTCTAGCGGCACGTCATGGACTTTGGGTTGCTCAGAAGCATACCATCCTCGAGAGAGCCGACGAAGTCACGAAGTCAGCCTCGGCGACAGATGACAACGTCCAAAAGCTCGTGTCCCTTATCGATGAAGTACGATTCGATGACAATGGAGAGCTGATCGAGGATTCCATCAGTGAGGAAACTTGGGACGAAATCATCTCCAGAACATGTGAAGGGTATCGCAACGTAGATGGCAATATTTTGTGTCCATCATGTATGCATTTGACTTCTTCATCTTTGTCCGTATGCCTATCTTGTCAAGGCAGGCTACTCTCGTGTGGCATTCGCAACACTGTCATTTCCGATTCACCCGTTGATCTTGTGAGCGACGATGAAGAGGAAAAGAAGGAAGAGAAGAAGCCTGAACATGATGATCAAGATATATTGGACCAGGCCACTATGGACGAGATCAGAAAGGCTTGGGAAGAAGACATCGCTCAAACTGAAGCAGCTGATGACGACGAGGACATGGACAATCAAGATCCTTCCAAACCGTCTGATGGTGCAGAGAACCTCAAGAGTGACAATGTCGAGACCCCATCTTTCAATGAGGACGAGATCGACTACGGTCGTGATTCTGATCTAGAAGATGAAGACGAACGAAACGTGATCATCGAGATCCAGAGGAGCACACAACAATATGAGGGGAAGACACGTCAAGATGGTGAGCCCGAGGATGAAGACGTCACCGACGACTTACATCCGGAGGCGAATCGACCAACAGATCGCGATGAACCGGGATACTATGCACAGCACGGAGCGACCGAGTTCAATCCCGAAGAAGGAAGAGACAACGAAGATCTCCCCATCTATTGTCGAGTACCGGAACCTCGAATCTATGCGCATCAAGAGAGAGCCTACTGTCAGGACGTCTCCATGAATGCATCGGGTTTGATGGATAGGTATGTGGTCAAATGTGTGCTGAACATGATCTCCCTGATGTACAAGAGCTACTATTGCACCAGCCTTACCGACTTCAAAGCAAATTGGAAAAAGAAGCGTCTGGATGTGATAAGCAAGTTCGGTACAGGAGATTCCACTGAAATCGATGACGATGGGAGACCATTGGATCCAACAGATGACATGATGTTAAACTTTGCCAACGACAACAATATTACAACTGAGGAGGCCTGGCACCGATTCAGAGGAGAGCAATTCATTTGCAAGGTAGCACTCATGATCCTATCATTTGGTCATACTCCGAAATCCTTCAAGGAGGAATATGGCAACTTCGAATACTCCACCAACTTGACTGATGCCCAGCTTGAGGAGTTGAAAGCGAAGAAAGCCAGTGCAATGGCTGAATTGGTACAGAAGTGCATCCATGCGATTTATGGGTGTCGGACATATTCTTATTTCAGAACCGACATTACATCACCCTACCACAAGGTGATCGATCCTCTGGACATCATGTACTCGAGAATGAAGAGCAAGTGGGAGAAGTCTATTCTGTTGATCGTTGATCAACGTGAGATTAGGTTGCCCCCACAAGCTCAGGAAGTCATAGAGTCAATGGCCAGAAACCCCAACGTTGGACATACAGAGAGATGGATGAGCGTGGTAGAACACAAGCATGTTCAAGCTCTTACCAATCGTCTAGGCTTTGGAGATAGGGCCAAGGAGATTCAGGGCAAGAAGAAGCAGGCAGCCAAGGCAACGGCTAAGTCAACATCAACGACTAAGTCTGAAGCGAAAGCAGCATCTTCGTCAAGAGCTGAGACAAAGCCAGCATCTACACCCAGAACCGAGGCCAAGCCGTCGTCAGCACCAAGTGAGGAGCCAAAACCTCCAACAGCACCTAAGAGTTTCGGGCCCTCATCAGCAGAGGAGAACAAGGCGAAAGCTGCTCCAAAAGCCAGACCACTTGACAAATCACCATCCAGTGCTACCGATGTGTTTGAGCAAGCTTTGCAGGAAGATCTTGCCGCCAACGCACATACAGCAGAAGGTACAACTTCTTCATCATCCCGAGGACATTCCAAAGGAGGAGGCCAATCTGGAACATCTTGGAGGCCGGCGCTAACGCAAGAACGTCGCGAAGTACCTCAACCTTCTGAAAAGGGAAAGGGAAAGAGCAAGTCCAAGGGAAAGTCCAAGAAGGGAGAAGATGATCGGTGGGATGCTCAGGGCAACTGGGATCATCGTGGATGGAGAGGTTATCACCAGTGGTGATTTCTTTGAACGACTATGAGGATACCATGCAAGCCAGGGAGGAAGTCATTCACCGGATGTCTATCTGACCTGGAACGCTGTAAGTGTATCATTGCAAATCGTCAATTTGATACCATGAGCATAATGGAAGGAAGACAATCACCGACTGTCTCTCCGACTTGCCGTTCTGTAAGTGTATCCAAACCAAAACCTACATCTTTTGAGGAGTGTGAAGTCAGTTGCCGATGTGACATCTACGTGGAAGTCACCAGTTCGGATCTACATCAAAGCGATGCTCTTTTGAGTGGATACTGAGCGAGGCCTCATGACTGTCTCACTTGTTCAATTCGATTTTTTTTCATAGGTTCTGAGCCATAGTTGCACACTTTATATGTAAAAGTCCGCTTTAGTCCAGCATGTTTTGTAGTATGAGCCTCATATGAGTCTCGCGGCAAATCATACAATTTCTTTGTAGCACTTACATCCCTAAATTTTCGTGTGTGATCGGAACATATTGTTGCCGTTCACATGGGGGGTGCGAATGGAAGTGCAGCGACATGTACAGTGCAACATGTACATATATATGTATCATATGTACTTTGGCTCAAGGATCAAGCGACTAGAAAAGGTGCGGTTTCCGTTCCGACGCTACGCCGCTTATGGACCGTCAGTGATAGCTTCAAACTACGCTGATTAAGATCCACTCGCACTATATGAGCCTTTACAAAAATCCATGGACTGGGGGGCATATGACTGTTTCCCTAAGAATCTAGGAACCAAATCATTGGTGCGAGCACTTCTTCAAGGAAGCGTGAGCTGTCCTACGTCCTAGCTAGGAGCTTCCTATTGCTATTAGCTTACCTCCTTACTTAATTAGATTAAGTAGGTGCCTGCCTACTTACTTAAGTAAGGGCGGGCTTTACAAAAAAGAACTCTCATTGACTGGAAGCGTTTTTTTCACCAGCAGGTACTGTGATCATCCCCGCGGACCTGGGGAGCTGAGCTGTGCTGCGGTGCCGTGTGCCTCAACCCATGTCACTCCTGTTTCGGGCGTGATAAGACACTCTTTTGAACGAGAAAGAGCAGTGGTTGATCGATCAGAAAGAGGGCGTGATGTTGAAAGAACTCTTGCAACTTCTTATCCTCACACATGTTGGAGACATACGGACATACTGTACTGTAGTCGTACCAAAATGTCAGAGGAGAATCTGACTAGGCCAAAGCTCAAGAGTTGCAGTAAGCAAAGGAAGGGCCATGAAGCATCCATACTCGGGATAGATATAGCGGGGATACCCCTCGGTCATGTACCACCAATAGGCACCAATAGGCTATATGCTTAGCTTTATGCCAATACCAATCCAACCGACCCCTGGCTTTCAGACAACACCGACCAGTCCGACCCGATGGATGGCCGGGCTTGTCACATCACCAAACGGTCACCTCGATGTCTGAGCACGATGCAGTTTGTTGGGTCATGGAGAGTTTTTGTAGGTATGTAAAGCCTCTTATTGGTGTATATATATATATATGTTGTTTAATATATGTGTATCTATATATAGATATGTGTGACATCGCGTACGAGATCATAGACATTCACTGGGTGATGTTACCGCAGTGAAGAGTTGATTCCGTTTTCTGCTCAGCCCCAGTGGCTGCAGCTACGTTTCACCACAGACAACAGTAGCTTCGGAATCCCGAAGCAACGGCGCCTTGCTTGGACGATCATCTTGACAAGCAGAGACAGTTAACTCCAGCGTTGAAGTGAAGTTTCGGATGAAATCCCCATACAAGTGGGTGTGCAAGTCCTACCACTCTCATCAGATCTCCAAGGGGATGATCATCAAGAAACACTCAGCAAGCGCCTGCGGACACAAACCTGTGCCCTCGGCTTCCGTAGAGACAGAGCCGGAGGGTGGGGATCGCTGCGGCAGAACGTTGAAGAGCGACGTGGCGGGATCGAGCGACGTTCGGTTCACGACTCGATGCCGAAAAGAAGCAACGCTGCAAAACCACGGTGGCGACCGTCCGGCGGTGCGGCGATACGACCGTGAAACTCAGCGGCGCGGACGTGGCGAAGAACCTTCGGATCCAAGACTGTTTGCAGTATGGGAGCAAGCAACATTTGTTGGCTTTGGTTTTTACTAAGAATATGTGGTGAAGAATGGCCGTGTTGGTGCAAGCTGCACAGGAAAGAGTACAGAAGGGGTACGGACCTGCTTGAAATGACGTGCCCCTTTTGCAACCAATTTCCCTTGAAATGCACCGAGAACAGATGAGAACAGGAACTTGTTGGATGTGCTAAGTGCACTGTGGATCATTGTAGCAGATTGGCTTGAACTGCGCATTGATGCTAGCATCTTGTAATTTTGTGCTTTCCACCAAAAGTGTGCTCGCATTCTCAGGAACCCAAGACGCAGAGGCGCTTCTGGTGTGGTCCCAGTTCCCGGGTTCACATACCAGTTGACAAATGTGACAGTGTAGCAGGACTCTTGGAACCCAGAATGCACCACTTCACCTCCCGTCCAGTCAAGTCGCAATCCAAGGATGTACGGGGGTGAACCAGTGGTGTGAAACGATGCAGCTGGGCCGTGGTTCAGACAGATTCAGGGACCTCACCCGTGTCATGTAGTCATGTCCATTCCCATGTTTCTGAGGCGTTTGGCTTCACTCCGCAGCCAACCAACCGGGGATGTTCTTTCTTTCCAACAGCAACCCACTTGCATTGCAGGCCTGGGATTGGGAGAATTGGAACGACCGAAGTTGGAAAAGCACCGGCAAACGAGGCTCGGCTGGTGGAGATCACTTTGGGACCAAAAGTTTTCTTGGAAGCCAGTCCAGTATGTCCATGTCCTTTCGCTTCTTGAACAACCCACGATTGACCCAACTGTCGGGCTGCGCATGTTCCTTCACCGTGGGGGCATTTTGCTGCGTGTCGCAGGCGTCGGCCATGGGATCCATCCTGTTTGGGTGGGAGCAATCAAAAGATAGTAGCGTCCTTGTTCCTAGTAGTAATGCCAGGAACCCCTAGTAGCGTCCTCGCTACTATGCCGTTCTCCCCGTACTAGTCAAGATGTTCCGTGATGTTCCGTGGATGAACATCTTCTCGGAATCGCCGCGGGGGTGTACGAACGCAAGATCTTGCAAGCAGCATCGCTGTGTTCATTGCGCACGTCGCGCGCGAATGTGGAGTGAACACTTGTCGTTGGCTACTCATGTTTCAGAAAAATTGCTGTTCTTTTCAAAAATTATCCTGGCAAGAGACCCGAACCAGACACGGGTGAGTATTCCACACTAGAGCACACATATGACAAGATCACACGTGTCAGAGCACAGAGCACACACAGGAGAAAAAGAGCAGATAGGTGAGAGCACACATGTGTGAGAGTGTACGCGGCGGTCCACAAAGTACTGCACCTCGTACACAAAGCTCTGCGCCTGCTGCAAAAACGTGCACTTGGAGGTCCACAATGTGCTTGCCAAGAAATCTGCACATCATGATTCGCATCGCGCCACAACAGCGTTCCAAAGACAAGCGAGATACCAAAAACGAAGCTTTCGCGCGATAACTTCTTCCAAAAAAAACGCCACATGTCCAAAGTTCACCATTCACTGCACCTGCAACAAAATCATTGCACGAAAGACCACCACCAAGTTGCATGACTGTGCCGTAAATGGCATCGAATTGGCCAGACACGCCGGTGAGCATCTTCGATCAAATCCTAAGAGCCCCAAGTGTGGCCACTTTGTTTTGAAACATAACCGAGTCATTGAGACCCCGCAGAGCTCGGACTGCAGAGATAGGAAGCAGCAGATCTCTTCTAATTATATACAATAACAGGTGCCACGCTAGTAGTAACAGGTGCCTTACTAGTAGTAACAAGAAGCTATTAGAAACAAGTGCCACGCTACTAGTAACAAAAAGCTACTAGTAACAGGTGCCACGCTAGTAGTAACAGGTGCCTTACTAGTAGTAACAAGAAGCTATTAGAAACAAGTGCCACGCTACTAGTAACAAAAAGCTACTAGTAACAGGTGCCACGCTAGTAGTCTTGGGCGAGGTGAATGGACCCGCAAGTCTCGCCACTGAGCCATCACCGATGAGGCCTGCTTGTGCTCTTAAAATGGATCATAGGTAGAAGGCGAATTTGTTGACCAGGGGGCCGTGCGTTTATCAAAGAACCACACGTACACGAGATGTGTTTTGCTTTGTTTAATACCCTGTTACTGATGAACTAGATTCTCAGCGCCAGTCACCGTCCGGTGTTGCCTCGTTTTGGCCCGCCTTCAACAAGCAAGGAGCAAAAACGAGCAGAGCACCAGGGTCAAGGAGAAGAATGCCACCAGTGAGAAATGTTCCAACGAGCAAAGCCGGCGCAAAAGGATGGCATGCACAGCAACGGTGGAACTAGCCTGGACGATCCCGTTGAGAGAGCCCAGAGGCTTGGTATTGACATGTATTGACTCTGTTCCTATGTAGTCGTGCACCTGAGTCACTTTGCTTTGCGTTCGGTCTTGGAGTTCCTCATTTTAGTAACATGAGCTCATTGTGCACAAGTACAGATGTGGGTTCCAACAATGCCAGTGACTCAGGTTGTGCTGTTTGCTTTACCAACCAGTCTTTCTTGGGGCCATAGAGTTCATGCAAACGTCTTCGTGCTCACCATGTGTTCAGCTGGTGAACGGCTTGCATTGGCTCAAGCACATCAGATCTGCTTGAGGATCCGAAAGCAATTAAAAGATATTGTCCACCACGACCACAAAAACACCCACAATGGAGAATGGCTTTGTTTGGGTTTAGGAACACAGTATGCCCTACAAAATGCCCTACAATAAGAGCGACTTATCATATATAATATCATAATAAGTTCTGAAAGAGCTGGCAGTCATGTGCAGCGTTGCATAGTTTGAATGTGCTTTGCGTATGTAGGACTGATGTCGCAAAAGAAACAAAACAGCTTATATACAGAGTTGGTGAGAGGGCCTTCCCTCTCGGGTGAAAGTTTCTTGGGGATTCCAAGTTGGCTTTATATCGGGTCAGCTCCAAGACCTAGAACACGATTGCATCAGCATTGCAGGCCCCAAGCTAGTCAATGATAGTTGTGGACAAGGTCTGGGGGTTGTCTTGGGTCCTGGCCATGGAAATCACAAAGTGATGCAGAGAAAAGCACTGGTTTGGTCAAGTGTTTTTCACTGTCCGACGGGTTAGCGGGCTTAGTGCTCCTAGGATGTTTGACCCTCACCATAAGGAAGGCTGTAGGATTTGCCTTTTGCTTTACAATATTCTAGCCAAGCCAAAAGCTCGAATGCAAGGCCACCCTTATGTTCCAACTCGGCTGGTTGGGAGAAACGACAGAAACCTACACACCATTGAATTGGCCATCGTGCTGGGCCATAGCTTCCATGGAGCACGAAGACGCGACCTGGCCCAATGGGTGAACATGAGAAGTACTATTCTGCCCCCCCTACTTTGAGACACAATTGTCATCACAAATCTCAAACAGTTCGCATGAAATCTGAGCGGTTGAAATCTGAACGGTTCGGATCGTTGAAAGGGTTGAGAGTTGAGAATCCAACCTGAGCGCAACTTTTAGCAGAGCTCAGCAATTTAGCAGAGGAGATGCGAGACACGCGAGTTTGTTGGGTTTGGTTTGTTTGTGTCGAACATGTTCAACCCTCTGATTTTCCAAAGTGCTGCATAAATCTGCCTTGGCCTTGCACCTTTCGGATATTAATAATTCATAGGAGATGAGTTTGCCACCATTTGGCAACATGCGGTTGAGGAAAGCTTTAACAGTACATTCCATAGGATACCACTGCACCAGACCAAAAGTATTCGATCACTCCTAGCCAAAAGCAAACTTTTGTTTGTGTGCGTTCTGTTTAGAGACAGAGTATACCACTTCGGGATCCATGTCATTCTCTCTTCGAAAGTGGTTTGGACGAAGGTGTCCCAGCTCCGGAAGGAGCGCGCCTTGTTGCTTGGCCGGCGTCCCCAGGACGGTGCCGGGGTGAAGATTCGGATGGGAACCACCTTCCTTTTTGGAAGAGCGCAAGCACTCATTTGATCTCATTGGTGGTTTTTGCTTTAGTTTCTCCATGTTTTTCCCAATATGATCTACTGTTGAACCTTCTAGGATCTTCCAGGTGTGCTTTGCTCAATCAGATCAGCCTCATGGCCTCCGCGACCCGGGACCTGGGCAATACTATAACCCCATCGATACCCTTCGAACGCCTTCGAGAGCAGCACTACCTTTTCAAGTTGTTCAACTCACTTTGGTCATGATCAAAGACGGCAGATATGAGACTGTCTCAAAGGGCAAGAATATTGGTGGAAGGAACATGATCATTCTGTTTACAGGGCCTTACAAGCTGCATCGATTGCAGAAGATAGACACTGGGCCGCAGTGACTTTGCCTCTGAGGCGAGTTGAGCACTTTACGAGCAAAGTTTGCCTGGTTCTCAGATCCTCAGTTTTCATCTGATCAGCTCCGGTGTACTGTCATTTGTGGTATATTGGTATGCTATGCTATGATGGCGTCCATAAATACTTGCCCCCTGCACATGATCAATAACGGGTCAATGTTTGATGTCACACCCTTTTCACAGTACATCAGGCTACCGAAATTTGGGAACCACAGGGTTTAAGGGAGAGCAGTGACAGGGTTTGATCAAGTGAGAGCTGTGAAGTGCATTGGAAAATGCATTGAAATGCTGAAGTGCACCACATGTCCATGAGATTCCATGAGTCTTTTCTCTTTCAATCGGTACATGTTACATGGCATTGAGCATTCCCCAACTTCGCTCCACTTAGGAGCTCACTTTGCAGACCTTACGTGCACTTCTGGGCCTCGAATTGAGCTGCACCTGGGCCGACATCGTCGCCCCCTGGCTCAATTGGAGTCCAAAAGCCGGTCGAAGAGGGTCCTGGTTTTGAGCTATTTCTATTGTGAAAGTGAACCATTCGTGTATTTGGAGCTGTGCAAATCATTCAGCCGGTATGTCACTGCCCCAAATGGCTTGGAGTCCTTGCTGCCGCCTCGCTGCATGTCCTGAAGATATGCTTTATCACTTGCGCCTTGGCCCACCAGGAGCATGTGGAGCTTCTAACTCGTGTGGCTGATGGACGTAAGGGGAAGGTGCCCTCCCACTCGGGCACTCGGGCTGATTCGGGATCGGGTCATTGAGTCATTGGGTTGATAGGGCGAGGGTCGTTTGATGTACATTACAAATTAAGGTGTTTCATAGTGGCCTCACTCCATGCGTGATGTCTTTCCAAACTGCTGCGAACCTTTGGAGTTACAGAAGTTCCAATTTTGACTCGCAAGGATTTGCGGCGCATTTTCAATTGGAAAGCCAATCACCTCACCAAAGACGTGCACATCCGCCAGGAACCTCCCGACGCGGAAGAGCGCGAGGTTGAAGAGCTTCAGCAACTCTTGCTGAACGCTGAGATGGTGCCGCCCCTTCGGTTGGGGGTGGCGTTCCGTGTGGCGTTCCTTCAGCCTCATATTGACCCAGATCAGATGTGAATTGAATTGGGCATAGTTGGAAACATGTTGGAACCTCATGCAAACATGTTGAGATACGCAGGAACGACCTTATGGATGACTTTCAGCATGAAAAGTTGCTTGACAACTCTAGGAATCTATGGCACGGATGTCGAATTGGCCAGGATTTGGATGAGAAAGAGAAACAGTTGGAGGAGCAACAGAATCGTGTGCAGAGCCTGTCCAATGTTCTCGCGAAACAGCAGAACGTAGGGAGCCTGGAATTGCAAAAGATGCCCATGTCAGTCAGAGGGTTGCTGAACCACCAGAAAGATCATCTCAACAGGCCAAATCGACAGGGACAGAAGTGAGGCCTTTTGCTTGCAAAAATGCGTAGCTGTTTGATGTGTTCACTTGTTGCATGTTTGACATGTGCTAACTACATTGTTCCGCTAAGCGGCTAAGTGTCCACTGAAAATATAGCTGTCAAGAACACCATGGATATCCAGGCCCAGACATGCCATTGCCAAGTCGTATTAGCAGTCAGCCAGACAACACATATTTGATGCGCGACACACGCGACAAACGCGGGACGGAGAATTGGACGGATCTGAGCTCCGAGGTCCTGGACATGCAAGCCTGGCTGAATTCGTCCAAATTGGACCTGGGTCTTAGACGGTCTTTTACGACGTTCCATGCTCAGTCATTCCGCAGGTTGTCCAGTAAGACCTTTTGCATCCAGACAAGAGGTGTCGGCAACGGGTGATTTGCTGAGTAGACTCTTGTGAGTGGAAGCGCCAGGACGGCTGCACAGCTGAGTAACCAACAAGAGCAGAAGGACAGGGTGCTCATTGTCAGTAGCCTGCTTCATGAGTAGGGCGAGAAACAAATCCTGAGGGACATGGGCTATAATGAAGAACCCAAGTAGATAAACGACTAGCAAAAATGATGGTATATATATATATAAGAGCCCCTTTGAGAAGGCCCCTTTAAAGGTGCTTGCCTTTTTTGATCTCTTTATATATATATATATTACATATTTTTTTTTGTGTGTGTCTAGCTTGTCGTTTGAAAGCACTTGTCATTTATATACATGCATGTCCTACTGGATTGGAGTCCCGTGCCATGCGTCTCACAGAAGTCATTCCAAGCCCACTGCTTACACAATTCTTGGCCAAACGACATCCACGGCTGAGTCGTGGAGAGCATCTCCCGAGAAACTGAAGGGTCCCCGTGCTTCTGGGACCCAACTGACCATAAAAGACCAGCACCAGAGGGGCAACCAATTTGTGGGGGTAGTCTTCATGTTTGGTTCGACACACCTGATGACTTATCTTCTGGCTTTGTGGTCTACAATCCCATCAAACGACAGGTCTTTGGTGAAACGGCAAAACAACACATCTCATATCATATCATTCTATAACATGCCCGGCTGGATCACTTGTACTGCTGTTGACCGTACCTTGAAGCCTTTCTTCGGCAGGACATGGTTTCCAGACAAAGTGAACAGCACAAAGCCCAGACTGGTCCAAAAGAACCTTCCACACAGATCGACTCCAGCGAAAAATCAAGGGTCCGATTGTATTGAAACCGTGCAGCATCCTTCGGTTGTTTTGGCGTTGAGTCATCGAGATAATCCAAAGTGCAGAAGGTGATTCAGACATAATACTTGGACAGTTTGCATGACGACTGTAGCTGTAGTGTTGATGGACAATACCCTGGGCCTAACTTGACGTTTTGGCCTTCAACATGGATACATGTAGATGAACTGAGAAGTGAAGACGGCAAATCCCTGGGTGTGTTGGGCAAAGCAATGAATCCTTCAAGCCAGAATTCCTGAGGTCACATTCACCTCTGTTGTATAATATACTGTTAATAGTACAAGCTATATATTATAGTATACTCTAAATAGTATTGAATAGTATACTTTATATATATAGCTTGGGTGGTTTGGACCAACCAACCCACTTTGTATCACGAAAAACCGTCTTCGAGTGGGAAGTGTTTGAAGCGACAACATGTGATACTCGTACCTCATCGCAGGGTTTCCCAGTTGTCGGCCACAAAACACACACTATTCACCAAGACCTTGCGCACACACACGGCCAACCACCTTGCCCCGAGGCTCGTCGCTTTGACCGTGGAGAGGGATCGCCTCCGGGACGACCGCGACCGACTCCGTCACGAGGAGACGCCACCCGACGATCGACGGGGCGCCGTGGTCCGCGTCTTTTCAGTCACAGCTGGTCATCGGAGTTTTGGGTCAGTGGATTTTGACAGATGCTGAGGCACAGGCAAGCATCAGCCATGGGTCATTGGCTGTTTTGCTCAGGTTTTGGCCTACGGTGGCCTTGCTAAAACATGGAAAGACGAGGGCCCCACCGTCTCTAGATGTTCTTTGTCTGCAGAATCTTGATGGCAAGGGCCATGGTCAAAGTGCTCAGCTATCAGTAGCCACTTCTTCTTTGATTTCGTTCTATCTTTGGGAGTAAATACCCATCGTTTCAACTTGCAGTTCACCCATGTTCAACCCTACTTCCCCCAACAAAAGTCTTTGGGCCACTATGCAGAAACTCTTAAGATCTTCTGAACCTCACGGATCTTCAACCCCCCAAAGAGAAATCCGTAGAAATCTATATCAAAAAATACAATCAGCAGGTCTTTTTTTCTGGACCTTTCGCCCAGCTCCGAAATCCAGACCTGTCCATCTCGCTGTTCCACCTGTCCGGGGCTCCACCATCATCTGTCCCTAGAGTGAGTGCCCCACCAGCTCTTCCAGGCAGAGCAGCTCCGGGAGTTGAGCCACGTGCAGCAGAGGCGCTTGCAGGAGAAGGCGGGAAGACCAAAGACCCGGCCGATGCCACCGCTGACCTGGTCAGGTCGCGTTTGTTGTCAGCGGGTGGGGAAAACCACCGAGAAAACCAGCGATGGGGTGTGAAAAGTGTGAAGAACCGGTGGTTTCAGGTGGGGGGAGGAAAATGGAAATTAGATGGACATTGGTGTGGAAATGTCCCGGGCGTTTTCTTCACGAAGTGAAGATAAAGCCCTTTTTGATCTTTCTTGCGTTCGCTTTTGTATGTGTTGGTGGCACTTTGCTGAGATATGATGCTATTTGCTGGGAGGTGAATCCATGCATTTTGCTCCAGTTCCCAAATCATCCAATCAGAACCTCCTTTTCAAAAACACAATATCTCTACTGATACTGTAAGATGTGTTGTGTTTTGAAGACGTGGGGATGTTTTTTTGTTATATGTAAATGTAGCTTAACTGGGTGAATGTTATGAGGCACAATCCACCAGAACAACATGGTCAGGAAGATGTAAGCTACCTTCACCAAGTGGCTGCCCACTGTTGAGCACTACAAAGTGATGAAGAGCCATTGCAGGAAAGAGATACTTTATGGTGCAAGAAAGTGATTTCAGCAACACAAACGTAGATCAGAGTGTTGGGACACAGTTGTGACTGGCTCCACACTTTAAGTCACTTGCTGTGTTTTTTTTGTGAATGTCCGTCGCTGCATTGCATGTACTGTATGTGAGAATGTCTAGCTGGCTGCAGAGACAGACAGACAGACAGACAGACAGAGAGACAGACAGACAGACAGACAGACGGTGTCATGTTGGAATCTCATCGAATGCAGGAAAGCCAGCTGAGCTCAGCAGAGGCGTCCTTGGCCACCAACCAGCAAGCACTCTTCCGAAGGCAAGACCGACAGTTTGGTTCCCCTTCGTAGGTGTTGGTGCGCTTGTTGCCAAGACAAATAAGAAATTGCGGGAAGGGTGGCTTAAAGGTTCTCCACATCCAAATCTGAGAGTGTTCCATAGAGTTTCATCCCATTTTGTTCTAGGTCGGCATTTGTTGCGTGTGCCAGATTGACTTCATGAAGAAAGCCGAAGCACGTTGCGGAACGAAATCTTACGGATGAGTTTCCCGCAGGGAGAAAGAGCTGGGTGCCTTACAAGCAGACCACCAGCGTCAGCAGGTGGAAATCGAGGAGAGATGAGTCTCGGGATGGCCGGTGAATCGCTCTCTCAAACGAGTCACGGGGGGTGTTGGGTGTCACAGGAAGCAGAAGTGAACAAGGATTGTTCAGAAGTTATTTCTTAGATCATGATAGATCATGATAGATCATGGTAGATCATGATAGTCACAATAGATCATGGTAGATCATGATAGATCATGGTGAAGAGGGCAATCCTCACCATGGTTGCTTTTTTCATTAGGTTTGTTCTAAGGGATCTAGAGATTACCTCAGCGGCTTTGAATGATTGGCTCCTTTGGTTTTATGCCTCTTGGTGTGTGTGTGTGTGTTGTTTTGCTGCAAGTGTTTCAAGCAGGGGAGGAATGCTAATTGTTTTGTTGGTACTACCAAACTGTTGAATCTGGTGTCGGGTGGTTCACAGAATATGTGTTTGCGCTTCGCTTTTCACCCACCGAAATTGAGACTGTTGGCAACATTTGATCTCTAAATAGTTTACTGATGCGTGCTGTTGCCAGCGCATTCTATTTTGTTCCGGGCGTTCCATATTCAAAAGGCAGCAGGTCTGAACGGCCGGCACCAGGAACTGTGCGAAGCGGTGACGTGGCGCGACAACGAGGTGCCTTGAAACAATGGTTCATGTCTCGCCTTCAAACAAAATATCATCGTTTTTTGATATGTACTGTATATTATTGTATGTGTATATATATATATGTTTTTTTTCTGCGGGAGTATGGATGGAGGGATGGAGGGATGGACGGAGGGAGTCAGGGATTAATGGATGGACAGACTACACATCACTTCGCTTTGAGTGCAAGCAGCATGGCACTCCAGACTCATTCCATGTCACTTCACGTAGGCTGGCAGTTGTCCTGTCACATTGCATCAAAGGACCCTTTTTGTTGCCTTGAGGACTTGGCTCAGCTTCGATAGCAGTCTTTCATTGGTTAGTCCACACAGGCTGCTGAAGAGACATGTATTCTGCGGCTCGTCTTTGCCGATCGACCCCAAAATGCTGCTTTGGGCGAGCCTTTTCCGGCGGTCCATCTGCCGAAGCGATTGCCATGATACAGGCAAGCTTCAAGAAGAATCCTGCTCAAGCGCAAGCGACCTTTAAGTCCGTGTCGGAATTGAAGGATGGCCTGGTGAGCAGCGGGCAGCTCCGAACCTTCCAGATCAAAGCCGATGAGCCGGAGAGCTTTGGAGGAACCGACTCAGCTCCGAATCCCGTGGAGGTCCTCCTGTTTTCTCTCGGTGCATGCCAGGCAGGGCAAGGAAAGAAGGAGGTGACGTGACCAAAACAGAAGGTTTCATTACATATCATATCAGGTGTTCTATGGTTTAATTTGTTTCACCTCGATGGTCAAGTCGTGACCAGGAGATCACCACCAAGGCCTTTGCCAATGCCATGGGAGTGCCCCTGAAGCGGGTCTCCGTGGAGCTTCAAGGACACATTGACCTTCGAGGTTTCTTTGCCGTGGATGAAAGCATCCGAGCAGGTTTCAACAAGATTGAGGGCACCTTCACGGTGGAGTCCCCTGCAGACACGGAGACGATCGAGAAGTTGAAGGCTGCAGTGGATGCTCATTGTCCAGTGAAGGACATGTTGCAGGCCGTTCCAATGGAGGTGAAACTGAATCACATCCAAGTGTGAGAAGGTTTGAGCCAAAACAGTCCTTTTGCTTAGAGATCCTCATAAGGAGCTTCGGTGGCCAATAGTGTTGCCTTTTGCGTCTACTTGTGAGGTGTAGTCCATTCTCGATATACAGAGCAAAACGTCACAGGCTTCGCTCAAGCTGCAGAGCGAGCAAAAAATGAGTGGCGGTATGCCACCAGGTCAGTGTTTTTTAATGTGTTTCGGTTCGACTACTGGGAAACGACTGGTTTGAAAAATGTGTATCCCAGGGGTGCATTCAACAGCAAGCAATCATGGCTCGTGATGTGAGATGATGTGAGTTGCTTAAAGAGTTTCGACCCAAAAACTGACTCGTTCAAGTGATTGCTTTGCTCATCTCACTCTGTTCAGCTGCGGTCATAGAGTCTTCACATGTCTCCACCCCAACCTTCCCAACCTCACCGGTCCTCAGTCCTGGCCACACGGTGTCGGGTCAACTGAGGTGGAGCACATCCGGTCCCAGCTCGAAGTCTTCGAGGTCGGGCGACGTCCGGAACTCACGGATCGCTTCCTTCTCGCGGGACAGAGAGAAGGATGATTGAGCCAGGGAGGACTAATCCCTATTAAAAGACACGGGGGGCCCCCATTAAGAAAGCATAAGAAAACCTCAGGTGCATTATTTTCAGCTTTGAAACCAAAAAGTCACCCAGGAAAATGTTATATAAAATCCTTTATTAAACTCGTATCAAAAATTCAAAAAGCCTCCAGATCGAAGGATCTTCCTTTTCCCCTAAAACAACCTTTATTAGAATAGTGATTCTTCATTAGACTAACAACTAAAGCTTTCGAAAGGTGATGTCGCTGTGCCATGCGGTTTTGCGGTGGCAAGTGCGTTTGCGTGAGTCCGTGCCATTGGAGGAAGGAAAACCTGCTGGTGGATAGACAGGGTGGACACAGGTGAGCAGTTACGGTTGTTTTGGAACCTAATTGAAAAAAAGAACTCCCCCAAAGCCGGCCATGTTGGTAGTTTAGTAGCGGCTTAAAACGGCAAAAATTTAAAACAAATATAGACCGTACGTAGGGGGCTCCGACATGACTGTTCTTTCATCTGCGTTCGTTTTTGAATAGGTACTCGGGGTTAGGACTGATGAAGGACAGGTCGATCATGATCGCATGGAAGAGAATAGCTTGGGTGTGCTTGGACTGGCCTTCAGAGACAACAGTTGAGCTGGACTTAAACTTAAACATCTCGGACACAACCCAAGAACCGAGCTTATGTTTTCAGCGTTTGTGCAGGCGCACGGAATGACACAAATAGTGTGCGAAAGTATGCGAAAGTGCTTGCTTGCTTTATATCCAACCATCATGCAGTTGCTTTCATCTATTGAACATTTACATGCATTGACACCCATTTCTATGTACTTGAGGTGCCCACCTGAAAGTCCACACGCCCGCAGGCGGCCGAGCGTCGAAAGCACAGCAGGGGAACCCATGGCATTGTGACCGGAGAATCCGCCGGTGGGACAGTGACCGGTGGGACGATGTTTCACTCATTTCGAAAGGGTTTGACGTGGATGGAGTACTTGATGATCTTGGATGTAACAAATCTATGCAAAGCTGATGTTACAAGAGAAGTTGGACCAATGACAAGAAGATTGGTCTGCCAAGAATGGTTTGGCGGAACGTCCTTTTCAAGTTCCGATCAATGCCTTTTTTTCCCACGGAGGTCTGTTGACACAACCGTGCTTGGAAGTTTCACAGGTCGTATCCCGCCAGGTTTGCCAGGGATCAGTCCACACAAGCAAGCAAGTGTATGTTCAGTAGCTGTCGCAAGTTTCATCAAGCTGCAATCTGCGGTGCGTGAGGTAAGGCCCCATCTCTTAAACCCAAGTGTTCAATTGTGAATAAAGCACATAGTTGGCCCACGAGCTTCGCAACAAAATTACATAGTCTGTCAAGAAAACGTGCATGCAAATGGGCATGCGCTCGAATACTACAACATGCTAGAACTTTAGAGTGGCATGTATATACCTGGTGAGTACAAGTACATGGTGTAGTTGAGACATACCATGGCATACCTAGTTTGATGGTCTTTGGAGCAGCGTGGTTGGACAAAATGAACAGTGGCAGTGATAGTTCAAGGCTCCCCGCATTCAAGATTGTCAGCAAAACTCCAACACTGTCAAAAAATCATCCAAGCTCGGCAAAACTTCTGCCCTAGTATACTCCGCGGTTGTGAGCTCCCAAAAGCTGGTCCATTCTCCTTTCTGGCGTGAAGCCCACCTCGTCTGGGCGCCGAGGCTATCGTTCAGGAAGCAGCACTTTCTTGGGCCGTGTGGCGTTCGAAGCCTTGGCGCTGTGGTGGGTTCCGCTGTGAACTCGCCCTGTCGATGGACCCCAATGGACGGACTCGGTGTTTCCTGTCAAAGCCTCAAAAGGAAGTGTAAGAGTTATTAAGAGTTCATTGTGTTCTAATGGTTTCTATTTTTTTTGTGCCAAAGACCTTGAAGGCAGTGGTCTCAACAGACAACGATGACTCAAGGGGACCTGGGAAGACCTTACGAGGGTCATAGAGTCTCATAGAGAAATAGTACCTGTTGAAGCTTCTTGCTGAGTAATTTGGTGGCTACTGAAAGTTTTGGGGGTCCCAGCATTTCGAGATACAAAGTCTGACCGCCCTTCTGGGCCGCTCAAACCGCTAGCAAAATCTAGCAAAGGTGTCACAAAAGGCCGACAAAATTTGAATCAGGTCAGCCAGAAGCTTGGATGGCTCAGAGTCGCCTGCTGAGTGGCACAATTGAGGAAGGGATTGGAAGCAAGAATCAAACACCCAAACCCTGTACTGTAGCTTGTCGTTTTCGGCTCAGGCCAAGTTCATCGATCGGCTCAGCGCAACCCAGTGCGCGCGGAGAGCGCAGGCGGGTGAGGTGTTGAAGCCCCGAAGGCTTCAGGGCCTATGAGGCAAGTAGATCTCTAAACGGTCTAAACGGGTTTTTAGTTCCTTGAATAGAGAGAGAGAGAGAAAGAGAAAGAGAACTCTTAATTTGTTACGTTTTAAAGACTTTAATTAAATGGTTTCTTCCTTGGTCCACTTCTGGGGCGTACTTGAGGTTGCCAAAGTCGTTGCTTTCCAATCTCTTCAGGCCGGAGTCCAGCGTGCCCTCGACACCAGGGGCGGCGCCCACGGCGGTGTAGGCCCCAGAAAAGGAGGTGAAGGCTCCAGCCTTTTGCTTCGGGCGATGAAAGGACCCTGATTTTGATTGAAGACCACATTTCGGAGTCAGAAGATGGCAAGAATGAAGACTTTGACCAGTTGTCGGATCAAAAGGGCATCACGAGAACATCGCAACCTTGTGGAGAGCTCAGCCGCTGGAGCTCTTCCCGGGCAGGATTCTTCAAAGAGCACTCGCAGGCATCAAGGAAAGTGTTGCGAAGCAATCAATCTGTTGAATCCGACAAGACACCTTTCCACCACTGAAGAACCTTTCCTTTCTGAAGAACCTCGGTCAGAGACTGACCTGGCTCCTGAGATCGAAAAACTCGGGATGGACTGAGGATGGACAGGTTCGGGTCAGTCATCCGGTCTCTCAGGTCAGCCCCACATCGAGCCGCCGTGCATTACGTGCGGGGAGCTGGTGAATTGGGTTCCACATGCATTGCGTGGTGGACCGGGAGTGGGTCAAAGGGGCAAATAATGGAAACAAGCTTAAGGCAAAAACGAACATGCACACTATTGTGAGGATTTGTGAGGTAGGTTTAGGGATAAATTGGTTGGTAAAGGTGTGCTTTGCCGCGAGACCCTTACATGAGGGCATGCCCGGCATGCCCTGCTCAAGATCTTCCTTAACTCAGAATGGTTTGTATCCGCACCAATAGCACTGATGTTTGTGCCAGCTCAATATCGATCTGCCAAGGCATACATCCCAATTATATACAATCAAGCAGTGAAGCTACATAATATAATATCATCCAGTATTCTGGCTTGGCGGGCGGAACGCACCATGGCCCTTGGCACCAGAAACGCACGGAACTCGTGCTGTGAGGCCCAGTGGCACCCTTGGCGTCAATGGACAAAGAGGAACGCGCTGCGTTCCTTGGTGGGACATGTTGGGACATGGGAGGAGCACTTGGATGAATTCAACGCACTGAGTGCGTTTCTGAGGTTTCTCTCCCATTTCCCAATGGCTTCACGCACCGAGAGGCACGCCTTCAATGTTTGCTCGCTCATACATTTGATTTGCTATCCCAGTGAATTGGAGGCACCTCCGGCACCGGATTGATAGTTCTAAACACAAGTATTGAAATGGTGTTTTCAAAAGTATCTACAATGATTGTGCTATGTGTTTGTGCAATGAGATATACTTGATTTCTATGTAAAGGGAAATCCAGGGAGATTGAGCATCTATCATCATGGTTACGTGTATTGTTTAATTATTGTCTTGTTCGATTGAAATAAGCAAAACAGTTTTACAAATAATTGCGAACCCCAGATGACAAAAGATATTTGTGGGCAGCGCCTTTTAATGGCACCATCACCGAGACTCCAAAGCGTACACTGCCATGGACATTTTGCAGAAGCACCCAGCAATGGCACCGTGTAGTGGCCCTGCACCCAGCCTCCAAAAGCGCACACTGCCATTAACGTCTGGCAGCAGCGTCAAGGCTCCAAAGCCCACACGGCCGTGTACATTTGGAAGCAGCGCCTTGTGTAGCGCAATAGCACGCAAGCTTTAGGTATCGTTTCTTTTGTAATTTGAGATATAATAAGATATGTTGTGGACTATGATTTTATTATATACTCGTAGTTGAGTAAACGTAATAAAGTTATATATATATTGTTATTTATTTATAATTATTGAAATAATATGTTTATTTATTGTAATTTGGTTTATACGAAGAATTAATTGATAAAATATTTCTAGAAATAATTTAATTATGGATATTTCTTTACATTTAATTATAAAAAACTAGCAAAATAGATATAATAAAATTATATGTATAGATAATTATAAAAATAACATATTGATATATTTAATTAATTTAATTAATATTTTAGATGTATATATTTGTTTGAATATATAAATATTTATTAATATATTAAGGAAATATTGATATAAAAATGAATGAAAATATATTGATATGAATATATTTTTAATTAATTCTTGATATTGTATTAGAAAAAATTATATTGGTTTGATATATTTTTGAATTTTGGGGTTTGGTTTTGATATATGATTTCGGAATTATTTAGGTAATGATTTCTATTATTTTTGTTGGGCATAAATATTAATGCATTCTCGAAATTAATTTTTTTTGCATAAAATGAAAAAAAATATAAATAATTATATTATTGAAAATATATTTTGATATATTAAAAATCGTGGTATTTTTTGTTACGGCAAGCTTTAAAATATCGATTTTTGCCTTATAAAGCATAAATTATTTATCAAATATGATATGTAATGGCATGTTTGATGGATTTTGCAGAGGAGCGATTTAAATATACAATGTGGTTAATGAAATCGAAGCAAAATATAATTTTTATATATATATATAATTTTATGAGGTGGGGTCAAAATAAATGTAGACTACTTTAGTTAGGAGAGGTCGATGTGAATGGTTTAGGGTGAGGATGTATTGGAAGCCGATAAGGTCTTCCCTAAAATCGATATTATATGATGGTATTTATTATTATTCCTGACATCCTTGCAATATCTATTGCATATCGAATGAAAACCCCATTGATAGTACCCTAGTGGGCAGCTTTAATTATATGATATGGAATTAAGATCTTTGTTATTATTTTTGTTTATTGTTCTAATCTGCAGCTATTTCTTGAAATATCCGGATTCTATGTGGACATTATGCTGATAACGAAACCGATAATTCGCCGATAACCGTCTGGATATGTGTTCAGCTTTCATGGCCACTTGCCCAGAGCCTGCTGACAAGACAGCTAAATTCCTTATCGAAGACATTGGTTTAACCTTTCTTTTTGAGAATTATACATGTTAGCATTTTACATCCCACCGAACAGAAGGCCGATAAACATTAGAGATAGGTACAGAAAATTTCACAAATCCATTCGAGATCGCAATGCCTTTGTCCGCTGCTGACACGCGAGCTGGGAAGAAGTTCGTCATCCACTGCTTCTGATTTCAGCGAGTAGCTCCGCTTCATGCATCCACAATGTAAATGCGAATGCCAAAAGCATCTGATTAAACAAAAGATTGAAAACCCATTAGGTCTTCCCCAAAATCGATAACGATCAAAAATATCCTTAGCATAAATAATTGATTTTGACCGTGGCTCATATGATAATATTTAATAGCAAATAATTTCAAAAATAATGTGTTATATCTTTTCATAGATTTAAAGATTTCCCCAAATTTATAATATTCAACCCCCAAATAACCATCCAAGTGTCGAGGTGATCCACTTCGGGATGAAGCGGTCAGGGGAGAGGAGGGGAGGTTACTATATTAAAAATTCAATTCCAAAGGGAGACGAATCTATGAATTATGAATTATTAGATCCGGAGGAGCCCATACTTGCTTCGCAAGACAAATTCAAGGGCTACCTTTCGTACTAACCCATTTTTAATAATTACAAAAATATGCCTTATATCAAGAAAAAATCGATATTGTATTTATAGTAATTATATTATTCGCATTTATAACCGAAATTTCAGTGAATCATTTCATTCGTTCACTTCCAGCCTGAGCGAATCCAGGCCCGTGGGTTGGGCAGCACCGCTAAGCTGCCGGGGTGCTTCAGAAAGGAGGCACAAAAAGGCCTAGTTGGAAAAGGCCGTAGCCAGCAAATCGGACAGGTCCACAGTCTGCTCTTCAATGGGTCTCCGCCACCAATGGCTTAGGTCATCTTGCGGGACCAGCCAAAACAGGTAGACAGATCGGCGGATCGGATCGACGACCGGGCACCTGACTGCTGATCTGCCATCATCTGTCATCCAGGAGCTACCCGAACTAAGAAACAGGCATTGGTAATGACCGCTTTCGGGTTCAAGGCCAAAATGGCAAAGGATGGCCACCATTCGGTACTGCGTCCAGCTGACATCCCGGCCAGTACTATTGTTGAAGATCGGAATGTGGACCTCACAGCGGGAGAAGTCGACGGGTGTGTTTTGCTTCATGGCAAGGGCAGGGAATCGTTCGAGTTGCAACACTATGCATGGGTGGGCATGAATGCAGGTATTCATATATGGATCCTGACCATGCCACATGTTGATCAAAACTTGCAGGTCGCCTCTCTTTTCTGCCGTCATGCGAAGGAGCAAGGGTGCGAACAAAGCACCACGATCCTCATTGCTATTGGCAAGTCTGGATTGCCAGCCCCGATATTCCTGCCCCCAGGAATGGTTATTGAGTTGCTGACCCCTGAGCCATCCCAAGAATTCTGCTGCATCCTGTTGTTCATCTGCTTCGTGCTCTCTGAACCATGTTGTCAGCAGCGTCCGGAAAGGCTCTGAAGCACATAGATCCGTAACACCTGAGGTGTCGAGCAGCTCAAGTAGAGGGAGCCTCCATTGACCCCAAAGCTCTGGATCAAACCCTTCATAGGCCAATGTGGCCCAGAGTTGCCCCAACAATGCTGCATTGATATAGCAGGCATTGGACGAATTGCGCAGCTTGATTCGAAGAAGCTGGTGCATCAGCGTCGCACACGGTGGGCGATTGCTGTAGCAAGTGGGGACCTTTGCAGGCCTGTGGGTCTCAGTCGAAGAAGGATCAATTGATAGATCCCGTTTCCGCTCAGGAGGTTGAGAATCTCGAAGAGCTGAGTCGACGCGGCGCTGCGGAGGTTGAGATCGAGGCGCCAAGGGATCGTCACCTGTGAGTCTTCGGGTATCTGATCTCGATTCATCGGTTTGAGGGCTGAAAAACGTTGGATCAGATCGCCCTGATTGGCCAGTTGGGAAAGCTGGATGGTGATCTCCTGGATCTTGTCCTGCGGCAGTGGCGGTTGTTTCGTAGGACGAAGGCACTTGGCTGCCGAATCCCAGGAAAGGTAGCTCCATGCATTCTCGGGTGTCAGAATGCCTTTCTGTCGGAGTGCTTGTACCAGGGGATCGTCCTGGTTGTCGAATTTCAGCTTGGCCAATCGTTGTATCAGCTCCTCTATCACCTTCAAGAAGTTGACCTGGCGGAGGGAGCATGTGACTCCTGTGCTTTGTCTCTGCTGGTGCCACTCCTTGGATGCCAGGATCATCGCTGGAAGGATCGAACCCTTGCCGGCCTGTAAAAACAGAAGGAAATTTCGGTCCAAGGCCATTTGATTGAGGATATCTTCCTGCCGTAAACTCAACTTGGCCAGCATCATCAGGAGCTCTGAATTCCCTTCGTGCCTCGAAGAGGTGGTTGAGGAGTCTGATCGGTTCTTCGATCTGCCTTTCCCAGTCGCTTTGCCCTGCGATGATTCCACCTCTGTTCGTGGGCGCTTGAGGTGGGCCTGACAGGTGTCCAAGAGGTCGGCAAAGGACATGTCGTCCATCGACATATTGTCTGCCATGGTCGAATCCGGCCGGTGTCAGGACAAAATCTCTGGCCAGGGCATGCTCGAGTTTAAGTATTGCTGTGCAAAACCAGCTGACTTGATCGAATGGGTCAATGTCCAAATCAATCGTTCTGGGATCCCACCATGAATCTGGACTTTCTGAGGACAAGGCCCAGTGCAGTGGGAGCGGCTAAACAATCCAATGAACGATGTAGGGCGCAGTGCCCAGATTCAGTGCAATCTGAGGCAGGTCATGGAAATGGATCAGAAAGTGTACCAGAGCAGGCGGCTTTCCGGGCGAAATTGGATGCACTGATCCATGGTCACATGCACATGATGTCTCATGGCTATGGTCGGATAATGAAGGAGACCACAGGTCCAGGTCGGGTGAATTCCCTGAGTCGGCAGAGGCGGCACAACTGTCTCCAGGCTTGGGGAAGGGTCAACAACAATCTTCGGACCATATTGAGCATCACGAACCCAGTTGAGCAGAAGTACCGGACAGGTGCCCCTATCAAAGTGATTCTTAAGGGCAAAGGCCATGGTAAAGCTGGCTTTACAGTGCATGCAGTTCAAACGTCCGGGAAATATGTCCATGCTAGGTCGAAAAGGAAAGGAGCTGGGCTCGTCAATTAAATGAATTGTTCGAAGGTGGCCCGCAACTGCCTTGCATTCCATGTGCTCAAAACACAGCGGACATTCATACTCTTGCACCGGAACTGGAATTTCGGTAGTCGTGGCACGAAATTTATGTGATATGGTGCCATCACTAGTTGGACGTCCCCTCTTGGCAGGTGGAGGGT